TAATGTCCTAATCATTTTTTATATTTTTATTTTAAAAACACTTTAATTTTAACATTATACAACACTATATGTGATTCAGAGGTATAAGATCACATCTCAGATCTTATACCAGATCAGATGTATGTTAGGATACCACACCTACCATCAAGGAACCCACAATTCTTCACAACCCACAATAAGGCCCCCTTCACAATTTGTTTCCCACACTTTCCCTCCCCTTTTGACTCAATTCTATGGTCATATTTCTTGGGTTTATTTTAGTTTGGCTTTGTCTGTTCCTTTGCAACTTCTTAATAATTAAAAACCAAGATGCATGCTAGTCAGACAACGTTAATCTCCTGATAAGGGCCATTCTAAATTGTATCTGTTCAAAGAGCTGTTAGAAAACTATGCCGAGGCAACAATGACAGAATAAAAACAGTTATTCTATAAATAAAGGATCTCCCTAGGCTCTGAATTGCACACATGGAGAGCCCAGACTCTTAAAGTAATTACCAAAAGTATATTATCAGCAGAAGGGCCACCTACTTGAACAACTTAAGCCTTTAAGAATTGGTAACATTGCTTCAAAACAAAAGCCCTGTAACATTAAAATTAATGTGCAAAAATGTTCATACTGCTAATATTCTTAGGAATGATAATGGTATTCAGGTTATATAGAAAAAAACTGCTTTTATTAAATGTTTATTAAACTACTGTTCTTTTTCTTAGAAGAGGCATGCTTAAGTTTATTTTGATATAAAGGAGCTTTCAACATCTTATAATTTTCTTTCAAGTGGTTAAGGAAAAAAAAGAATACATGACTTTAACCTCTGTGCCACCAGGGAGGTCCAGTGAGCTATTCTTTCAATATTACTGTACAATTGAAACGTTTCAAAACAAAAATTTGGCATTAATTTCCTGGCTTGGATATTGTGCTATACTACATAAGATATATTTACATCAAATGCTCTGAATATTAAAATAGAAATCATTAAATACATACACACAAAGGAGAAACAACAGGAAATTTACAACTGAAAAATATGAAAATAAAAGTTATGGAAAAAATGTCAATGTCCTTCAAATTCTTTCTCTCCATTTTAATTTTATTAAAAAAAAAACTATTTGAATATGTCCAGTCTCAAAATAAGAAATGAAAAGAACTCAGAAGCCAATCATCCTAACTAATGAACAATGAGGCATTTAGGTGCAATAGGTTGAAGCATGGCACTATGAGGCTATCTGCAGCCACCGCAGCATGAGTTCGATCCCCTAACAGGGAGCTGACCCACATGGAGTAGCAAGGCCTCTCCTGATCTGACCACTGCTCCCCTCAGCAGTGTATTTCAGTAGATGTGCCTTTTTCTGCTCCCCACACTGATGAATCCTCTCACCCACCACACCTCTGGCCTATGTCCTAGTTCTTGTATGTATAAATAATAAACCCTTAAATAAAGATTGCAAATATTAGGTCATTTGGTATTTGTCTTTATCTGACTTACTTCATTGAGCATAATGCCTTTAAGGTTATCAAAATTGTCACAAATGGAAAGCTGTCATTCATTTTTACAGCTGAGTAATATTCCTCTGTGTGTATCTATCATAACTTCTTTATTCATTTATCCATGGATGGCGGCTTAGGTTGTTTCTTAGCTTTGTTACTGTAAATAATATTGCAATGAATATTCATAGTTCAAAATTCTCTTTTGTATTAAAATGTTTTCCTGGGCCCTCCCTGGTGGCGCAGCTGGTTAAAGCACAGCACTAAGAAGCTAAAGCCACTTCTCAAGGACTCAAGGACTCTCAAGGACTGAATAAAGTACCATAACTACCATCATATTGCAATTTCTACTGAGTATTTTAGGAGTTTTTGTTATTTGGGCTTCAGTAGAAAGCAGCCTATCACTCACTTAGGGATTTTTATCCTTTAGACACAAGCCTGTAGAAAGGTCACAGGATAAGGCATTCAATAGATCTGAGAAAGATGCTATCAAGAACTACTCTGACTTCTTAAAAGTATAAGTGGGCATTCCAGCCCAAGCAGGGACACCAAAGAAAAATAAATAAAAATAGGCTAAAGATGCTTAAAACAAAAAGGAAATTAACTGTTTAAAGGCTTTATGTATGTTTGTATTTACCTATGCAAATATTTTATTATTTAAGATGTATTTTATACTAAAACATCTCATTTTGTTTTTAAAGCAAGAAAAAATCTCCCCAAAACAGCTTTCCTAGGGTCTCCCTAGTGGCATAAGTGGTTAAGACTCGGCACTATCTGCAGCCACTGCAGCATGAGTTCCATCCCCAACTAGACTGAGAGCTACTAGCCCAGAAGGCAGAGCAGATCTCTCTATTCTCACCCACTGCTCCTTTCAGCAGTGGATTTCAGTAAATCCACCTGCTCTGCTCCCCACTCTGTCTCTGGTGAATCCTCTCATTCCCCACTGAAAGATCTTTGGCCTATACTCCAGAGTTCTTGTATGCTTAAGTAAATAAAAATAATCTAAAAAAAAAGCTTTCCTAAATATTATACATTTTGAACTAAATATATTTTTTCACAAACTCATTCTGATTACTCAAAGTTGAGAGTAAATTTCTGAGATTATCTCCATTGTTAAAATAAGTGATTCAATCATTTCTCATTGTAGAATATCTACTAGTGACTACTGACGAAATTGTCCAGATGGTCCATCCCTAAGTTAGGATGCTTCAACTTCAGATTTTTTTTTTTACTTTATAATGGTGCCAAAGGAATACACATTGCTTTGTACTTTGAATTTTGATCTCACAAGTTAGCTAAGTGCTGAGTGATGGACTAGTATGATATTGGGCAGTGAACTGCAGCTCTGTCAGCCATAAATAGCAAAGCAACTTATACTCTAAGGCTGTCCTTCACTTTCAGTGCAGTATTCAATAAATTACCCGAAATATGCAACATTTTATTATAAAATAGGCTTTGTTTGGATGACTTTGCCCCCATATAGGAAAATTAATGAAAGTGTTCTGAGCATGTTTAAAGTAGGCCATAGGCTATGCTATATGTATTGGAAGTTAAGTGGATTAAATGCACTTTCAATTTAGCAATATTTTCAATTTACAATGGATTATCAGGGCATAATCCCATCATAAATTGTAAATCTAAGAAGAGTTGTACTCAACATCTAAGTCAAGTTAGGCTCATTATGGGAAAAGCAGTTAGCAAGAAAATTTCCTGGGTCTACGAGATAATGAGGTGTTCTCTACAGCCTACTTGCCAGTTACAGTAAATGGGCCAATAGCCCCATGCTTAAAGATTATCTAAAAATATTATCCCATTACATCCAGAAGTTGAGTAATAACTATATCCATACCTGTCACAGGTAATTTATATAACGGGTGAGTATAAGCAATAAGACAACCAAATATTCTATGACTTTAGTAGTTTTCTTGTCCCATTGAAAAAAATTTTAAAAGTTGCCAGAAATTTAGCAGATTAAACTGTACAATCCTGAGAAAGAGTACAGTGTTCCTTAAAAGACTAAATAAGCTTGATGCACATGATGAGGATATTGGCAATAAATTCTCAAATCTATTTATTGGAAACCAGTTTCCTAAATAATTGTCAAAACAATCAATAATGTAATTTTAAACTTAAATAATCATTTTCTCAAAAACAAAACCTCTATCTTGTTTATAATTTTTTTCTCTCAAGTTTTGTTTACAGTAATATACTGTTTAGTTGTTACAAAAGAAAATTTAAAATCTATTTAATTTCTGCCAGCTAGGCATCTTAGTATTGTATTCTTCTATATAAAAAGAGCACACAAAATTATTATTGTACACATACATCATTTCCTGCAAATATTTCTTTTTCATACATTGACACATTATTTATATTATCTATTTTGAAAATACAGCAGAACCTTGAACAACTTGGATATTAGAGAAACTAAGCCTCTTGAAGTAGAAAACCTGCATATGACTTTTAACTTCACCCCAAAATTAATTAGTTTTCCCTTGGTATTTATGGGGGACTAGTTTCAGGATCCCATGGACAACCAAATCCACAGATGCTCAAGTCCCTTATAGTTACCACCAGTAGCCTCAGGTACTTCATCTACAGATTCAACCAATGAACATCAATGGTTGCTTTAATTTATGAATACAAAACCCCGAGACATGCAGGGTTAATGCTACTTTTTTGGAAAAGAAAATCCAACTGCAAGAAAACTAACACACTACTGCTGTTCAAGAGTCAATATAACGCAAACTAGATTATATTTTTCCAAAGATAACTACAATAGATTCCATCCTACAAGCTATTCATGTAATGTGAAATTGATACTCCTTCCTTCAAACAGTCTATGGTCACCCCCTCATCTAAATCCTGATGATTACCTCAACTAAATAGAGGAGAGCAGAGTAATACTGTTGACCTGCAAAACTAAGTCGAACATGCTGTACACCTTCACCTTGCTAGCCTACGATGCTTTCTCTGGGAACATAGCCACCATGCTATAAACATAACCACCATGCTATAAGGAGGCAGGCAGTCAAAAGTAGAGGTCACATGTTGGTGATCTGGCACAGAGCCAGGCTAAGGTCCCGCCAACAGCCAACATTAACCAGAGTGAGCAAGACTTCACTGATTACAGCTCCCAGCCACCCCATCTCATACCACAGGCTAACAGAGACTAGCTCTCCCCACCAAGCAAACATTGCATAAAGTGCAAATATACATGAGCAAAATGAATGATTAGCATGTTCTAATGAACTAAGAAACACATAAAATAATTTGAAAAATGCACAAAAAAGAAGAAAAAAATTTGGTTACCCTAAGTTTCACTACTGTTAACATTCTGGCACATGTTTTACAATCAAGAAAATGTTTTGCCCCACCCATCTAAGATTCCAAATGCTGTTTTTACCAGATAAAGGGTTAGATCTTTAAAGGTAGTTCACTATCTGTATATAAGAAGAAACAGGCAAGAAGACATGAACATTCCTTCTACTTTTATCCTTACTTTCGTCCCACTTACCTGTCTTTAAGTGAGGTGTTTGAGGGATGGCTGGCCCACCAATATTTCAATTTATGGATGTGAACCAAGATCTTGGTTTGTTGTATCACAGCTGCACTGGTCCTCTTCCTTCCAAGTTGTTGAAGCCTCAAATCTGGAATTTTTAAGGAAAGAAAATGCTAAATATAGACATATACTTTCAATTACTGGTAATTCCATCTATATAACTGAATGGAGGCTGACAGAGTGTATGAAAATTTTATGGAAGTAAATGTACAGTTTTCACTAAAAATGGAGTTGGGTAATGTGCACTCAAGTCCCAACTCTTTCTTAATAATTATCTTAGGTAAGTTACCATTCTCTGTACCTTAGTCTTATGTGATGAAATAGTGGATCAGGATCAAAATTTTGGCTTTGAGGTCAGATAGGGGTTCTAAACTCAGTACAGTGAGAAGTACCAAAGTACTTCTCAGACACATTATCTCTAAAGGGTGAGGGTTGTATTAGATAATGATTCCTGAAATCTAATGCCTGAACAGGTGCTAAATCATGACCCAAAAATGGGAGTAAAATTACCAATTGTGATTAACTTAAGACTGTCAACTTCATTGTTCCTTTTTAAAAATGTTTTATTTTCTTACATCTTTGTCAGTTTTGGGACAGCATTTGATTTCTCCCCTCCAGTGTAGTCCTTGTAATTATCCCACCACCACAGCATCCCACATTCTTACTTTTTTGGAGTTAAAATGTCTTCTATTATGCAATGATATAAAATAACAGTTGCTCACAATACTAATGACAAAGGACTGATCACAAAGGTATACAAAGAGCTGATTAAACTCAACAAAAAGTGAACAACCCCATCAAAAATGGGTGGAAGAGCTACAAAGACACTTCTCCAGAGGGGAAATGCAGATGGTCAACAAGCATATGAAAAAAATGTTCAACATCACTTGTAATAAGGGAAATGCAAATTAAAACCACAATGGGATACCACCTCACACCAGTGAGAATGGCACATTTTAAAACAACTAGCAACAATAAATGTTGGTGAGGATGTGGAAAAAAAGGAACTCTCCTGCACTGCTGGTGGGAAAGCAAGCTGATACAACAATTATGGAAGGCTGTTTGGAGGTTCTTCAAAAGGCTAAAAATAGAACTTCCATAGGACCCAGCAATCCCACTCCTAGGTATCTACCAAAGGACACAAAAACTATGACTCAAAAGGACACCTGCACCACCATGTTTATTGATGCTCTATTTACAATAGGGAAGACATGGAATCAACCCAAATGCCCAAAATAGATGACTGGATAAAAAAAGATGTGGTACATATACATGATGGAATATTACTCAGTGATAAAAAAGATAGACTCATGCCTTTTGTAGCAACATGGATAGAGCTGGAAGGGATCATGCTTAGTGAAACAAGCCAGAAAGAAAAAGAAAAATACTGTTGGTTTCACTCATAGTAGGAGTGTAAGGGATCAGGGAAAAAAAAAGAGAAACAAATATAATAAAGTAAAAACAAAAACAATGAACAACTATAAACCAGAGACATTTTATGGGGGTGGAAAGGGGAATGCGATCAGAACTGGGGTGGGAAAAGTGCACAGGACTATGGGGATGGCACATGGGTGAACTGGTGGTGGGAATCCCACAGGGTTAATAACTGAGGTGACAAAATGCACAAAATGAAGAATGATGTAAAGTAAATAATAGTAATAATAAATAACAGTTTCTTGGTGTTTTTTAATACCCTAAAGAGTCAAAGTAAAAAAGTGTAGCTCATTGTAAATTTCTGAAATTCTTTTTAGAATTTCCACTGTGTGATTTATGAGCTCTAAAATTCCTTCTCTCTCTTAACATTCTGCGTATTCACTCACTACTCAGCTAGTATTTACTATGTACCTAATGTGATGGGTACTTTACTAGGTTCTAGAGGTGCCAAAAGTAAGAAAGATTAGTCCCTGCTCTAAAGAAAGCACCCAGAAAAAAAAAAAAAAAAACACATAAACCTCAAATACAATCTAATGGATTAGGTTTCCTAATAGAGGTTTTTGCATTATATTAAATAGGAGTTAGCATAGTAGAAGGAGTTTTAAAATTAGTAGATTTTGGAGTGAATTTTTAAAAAAGATTTATTTATGTATGCATACAGAAATGCGATACAGGCCAGAGGTGCAGGGGCGGTGAAAGCATTCACCAGAGACAGAGCAGGGAGCAGAATAGGCAGACTGACAAAATACACTGCTGAGGGGAGCAGTGGGTAGGTCAGGAGAAGTCTGCTGCACTATGTGGGTCAGCTCCGGGACAGGTATAGGGCTTGCACCGAAGTAGTCACAGCCTTCGCAGTGCTGTGCTTTAACCTGCTGCACCACCAGGGAGGGCACAGATTTTCGGGTGAATTTTATAATTGTGTGAGGAGACACTAAATCTCTCTGAACCTATTTCCTTAAATGCAAAACAGGGATAATTATAGAAATCACAGTGCTGTGGTAAATAGATAAGATGTGAAAAATAAAGGGCCAATCCCCCCCAAAGTTTGGCTTTTTACATCTTCCAGAAAGCAAAAAGAAATTATCAAATATTCATAATCTGGCACAAAAGGAGTTATGTACCACACTGATTTATACTCAGTAGTGCCATTAAGCAATTGAAGTTACAACCAACTTTGTTCTATCTGGTATCCTCTTAAAAGTACCAGGTATTGGCCCTCCCTGGTGGCGCAGCAGGTTAAAGCACTGCACAAAGAAGCTTAAGCCACTTCCGCATGAGTTCGATTCCGCCTGCCCCCGGAGGAGACCACATGGCGTGGCAGACCTCTCCTGACCCGCCCGCTGCTCTCCTCAGCAGTGTACTTCGTCGATCTGCCTGTTCTGCTCCCACTCTGTCTCTGGTGAATCCTCTCACCCTCCGCATCTCTGGCCTGTACCCCAGTTCTATATGAATAAATAAATCTTTAAAAAAAAAAAGTACCAGGTATCAATGGTTTATTAGAAAAAATGATTGAATGAATGACTAAATGAATGAACAGCTTCTCTATTTTTAGAGGGATTAAATTGTAGCTGCAGAAAGTAGAAATTCTTAAGATTCTTCAAATTTAATTTTAAGTGTATATTTTAAGTGCCCAAATCTGTCATATTGGAAACTGGATGTGCAGGCCTATTTTAAAAAGCAAAATAAATCTACCATAGCCAATGCAAAAGTGGTGTTCTTATGTAAGAAGCCTAGTAGCAGCTAACATTAGGCCGCAATTACCAAAAACTCAGATTCTAAGAATTATGCTTAGATTATATATGTCACTTAATTCTGACAACAGCCTTTATGAAATGGGCTATTAACATTACCATTTTATAAGTAGGAAAACTGAGAAACAGAGAAATCCAGTTATTTCCAACATCACAAAATAAGCAGTGGGGCTGAGATTAAAAGAAAATCAGGCTGCATAACTCAAGAGTTTTCTTTTTTATTTTTTACTTAACTAAATATCTTTAAAAAAACAAACAAGGGGCCTTCGCTGGTGGCACAACAAATTAAAGCACAGTACTATGAAGCCACTGCAGAAGGAGTTCGATCCCCAGCCAGGGAGGTGACCCACATGGCACAGCAAACCTCTTCTAACCCACCACTGCTCCCCTCAGCAGTGTATTTCAGTAGATCCACTCTGTTCTGTTCCCCACTCTGTCTCTGGTGAATCCTCTCACCTCCCTGCCCCACACCTCTGGCTTGTACCACAGTTCTTGTATGCATAAATAAATCTTTAAAAAAAAAAAAATCACACACAGATTTTACCAAACTGAAAACATTTGCTCCTCATAATTTTTTTTAAATAGGACAAAGAACCCTTCAATACGTAAACTAAACTGAAATATATAATTTTACAGTTCTTGTCCTTAAAGGTTCCACAAACCATGTGGTGGTATAATATTAGTAAATCACATCTAGGTTTTACTGTTTTAAAGTTAACTATCTAATATGAGGCTTATTTGTACTTTCTTTTTCATTTACTCAACTCCAGCTATTAATATCTTTTGAGTTTTCAGGCCATACAGAAAAGGCTTATATAAAGCAAAGAAAAAAATGAGTCAACAACTGGAAGATTCTGTATGGACATAGAAGTTGATTTTGTATGGACATCTAGTTTCAGATAGTGTATTAAAAAAAAAAAAAAAACCCCACCACACAACAGTAGGAACAAAGAACAGCTGAATTTCATCTCCAATAGATGCTCTAATAAAACAATTTCAGATGCAATTTGCAAATATATTTTTAGCCAACAATGTGTTCCACTTCACTTCTTTACTGGCCTGATTCTAGAACAGACAATAATGTTTCTGTTGCTTTACTTTTAAACAGTTGTATCAAAGAAAGAAATAATACATTTCTTGATACTTGCGTTTTACATCAATTGCATCTCTTATAAGTTAATTCATGCCATGGCTTAAAAACTCAACTCCTCTGGGCATCCCTGGTGGTAAATGCAGTTAAATCTCAGCACAGTGAAGTTATCCCCAGCCAGGGAGATGACCCACACCTCTCCTGCCTTGCCCGCTGCTCCCCTCAGCAGTTCTGTTCCCCATTCTGTCTCTGGTGTCTCTCACCCTCCTCCCTGGTACCTCTGGTCTGTATCCCAGTTCTTATATGCATCAGTAAATTTTATTAAAAAAATAATAATAAACTAAAAGCCTCTCAGTAGGCTTTTCAAATATGCCAGAAATAGCACTAACACTTGAAATATATTTGGTCAAAATGAACAATGAAACAGCCAATAAAGCAATATTTAAATTTCATCCATGATTGTATTTCACATTGTTCTGCTTCTGGAACAAATCAATAAACTAAAAATCTCCTTATCATATTGAAAAGATTTTCAAGAAAACTAATCCTCCAATGACAATAAACAAGGAGCCATAAAAAGGAATAAGTGTTAGCAATAATTTCTTAATATTTTCAGACTGAAGCAGATTAACTGCTATATTAAAGCTAAAACATGAAAACAGATTATTTCTAAGATAGTACAAGAAAAAAATCTAGTTTTAAAAAAACACAACTGGAAACACTAGTATTATGGATGGATCTACAGAAATAAAGATAAGGCTGCTTATATGAGATGTGACATGTCAAAAACTTTTTCCTAGAGATAAATGTTCA